CTTTTCGGTTGCCTCCTTTTATAAGAAACTCTTACTAACCCCTTCGTTTCCTCATTCTCCTAAATCCATCATGCTGGAGGTCTGGTCATCTATAGCATTACTTGAACCTGCATCTCTGGTAAAGATCATGAGATAGACCCAGCCCAGCGAATTCCCTTTTCTTGTTATCATGACTTTTTGTAACTTGGTTCCCAAAAAAGGTACATCTGAGGTCGTTCCTAAAGCTCCAGCCTTCAACTGGATTGCTTGCTTGGAGAAGACCCTCACGGTGGATCAACTACAACGGAGGAACGTCCAATCCAACCCCGATCTATTTTTACACTGTAAAGTGGCCCACGAGCTTTGGAGGCTTCTTCTCCGCCTCTTCGGTATCTCTTGCGTCACTCCTCCCTTCCTTCCGGCACTACTCAACTTATCCAAGGACACTCCGTGGCCATCTACTGGCAGGCTCCTCTGGAAACCTTCCATAGCATTCACAATTTAGGTCATTTGGACAGAGAGATGAACTCGAGGATATTCCGTGGTATCAAACATGATGTTCCTGACCTCTTTCCCAAAATCACCTCGGAGGTCACCTTTTGGCCATCCAATAACAGAGACTTTAGATTGTCTCGTTCATAGCGTTCCTACTAAAGAAATCCTCCAGACGCAGTCACTCGGGATTCATAGATGTACCAACTGGTCTGCCCCCCGGAGGGCCATACAAAGCTTAACTTCGACGGGTGCTCTTTGGGTAACCCTAGTCCAGTTGGAGTGGTGGGGTCTTCCGAGACCACCTTGGCAACACTCTTGCTTCTATCTACAAGAATATTGGCCCCAACGACTCTCAATTTGCTGAGTCAATGCTGCTCACGGGCCTCAAGGTCAATAGCACTGCTCACAGGCCTCAAGATCTTTGACCCCACTTGGCCTCAACCACTTATAGTGGAGGGAGATGCTAAAAAAACATTATCTATTGGGTTGTTAGCTATGCCCCCCCCCCCTCTCCTTGTGGCATCTTCAATTTTTGGAGGTTACTCACATTTGCAGGGATATAGCCGTCTCATAAAAGCATATTTGGCAGGAATCCAACGCCCTGGCAGACAAACTAGCTAAAGATGGAATGCCATCAAGTACCTTAGCACCGTGAAAGATTCTCTTTTCAGTTTTTTGGGTTTTCTTCCTTGTTATGAGCAGGATGTTTAGGCCCGTATTTGGTTCGTAGTTTTCTTGCTCTATCTGGTTTTTGGTACTAGGCCCGAACATTTTTGGTACGAGATTGCCTTCTAGGGAAGTCTATTCTTTTTGGCATGAGGCCCGACCTGTGGGCTTCCTCTGCAGCTCTCTTTTAATTATTTTACGCTTAATACAGCAGTAAACAAGATAAAAAAAAGAGGATAGTTTTCCTATTCTAAAAAAAAAGCAAGAAAACTGGGGATAGTGTTCCTAATTTATACCCAAAATTATAATGGCTAATTTGTGGGATGAATTTAATTATTCTCACCCCACAAATTTCCTAAGTTCTCGTTGGTCAAATTAGGAGAAGGAATTCTTTCTATTTAAACACCATTGAGCCCCTCTCTCTATACACAAATTCCTCTTTCCGCCACACACCAAATTTCTGTCTCTCTGTCACCATTAAAATTCATTTTTGCTCTCTTCCCTTCCAAAAAGGGTAATGCCACCAAAATTTAACAAGACAAGGATGGCATATTGAAACCTTAATCAGGATTTTGCTGTTTGGAGAAGAAAAAATGGGTACGCCCAGCCTAGAAGGTTCTATACCTTCATGAGATGCTCTAATTTGATCCTAAAGGGTTCCTACAGACCCTAGTTAGTTTTCTATGCTCTTTAAAGCCTTAGATAAAGAAGTATTGCTTGTGAAAAGTTTCTATTTCTGAAATTCCAGCAAGACCAAACGGATAAAAGTGCCGTAATCGATCAGGGAATTGGGTGTAGGGTGTATCAAGTCTTGTGGGGGTGACCCTAGGCATGATCAAGTAACTTTTTCTGGTTGTATTTTATTTATTTTTTCATTCATATTTCCATACTTTTTGCGATTCTCCAGGAACATATATTGTACTTAAATTCATTGTGAAAAACTGAATATTGTTCCTTGGTTATGTTTTTTTGCTTTAGCACTAAAAGGAAAGGTCCTATGTTCCATTTAGGGTTTTATTTTTTATTTACAACTTTGTATTTTGGTCGATGTAAGTGGACTTGAGGTATATTAATAAAAGAAAAAGAATTTTTTTTGAATTTATTACCTTGAGTTCAACATAGCCACTCCTTTCTGGGCTGACACATTATTTTCTCATATATATATATATATATGAACTGTTATTCTGTGGTTCATCCAGGTGAAGAAAAAATGGTTACATTTATTTAGAAATGATTGTGAATGGTATATTGACATTCATAAACCATTCTAGTACATTTTTTTTTTCATTTTGCTTAGTATTTTCAAATTTGGAGCTAAAATTTGGAACCAATCAGGTTCTGAAATTGAAAATTGTTTAGGTGGAAGAAAGTTGGGTTCTGAACTCAAGGCCGTTGTCGCCCATCTCTATTCTCCATCAACTGATCCACTCCCAGTTTTAGCGAGTCCATTAACCATGTTTGTCCAAGTAAGCACATCGTCTGTCCAAGTAATCACATCTCTATGACCTATCTTGTAAACAAAGCTTCAATCGCCTCTTTTTATCTTTCTGCTTTGAGGTGGAAGAGTGATCATGATTTTTCTTGCCAGATATTATTAGGCATTTGCTCGAAAAGTTTGCATGCTCTCTAAATTCTGTAATTTGAAGTGTAACCTAAGGTCATGTTCCAAGAAACAATGTTTTTGTCAGGTATTTGTTCGAAGAGCTTCTCGTCTTCATGCATTTGATTTGCTGAAATATAACCGGAGAGTAAGACTGTCCAAGCAACAACACTTTTCTGGGGTGTGATTGTGATTGATGACAAATTGACGAGGTTCTTTGGTCATTTTACACTTGATACAAGTAGAAATAATTGAAGTCATATTCAATGATATGAAAACAATCAAAGCTTTCTTCTGACTAATATAAGCACTGAAACTTTCCAGCCACTTCCCCCAATTCAAATTGAATTTCAATCTATTAGAGGGGGAGGAGAAGAGAGAGAAGAAGAGAGCAAGTTGCGTAAAAAGGCATCGAAAAGCCTTTCAATCTGAGTCAGTTGCAAGGGATTGGGGACCTGTTTGAGCGAATGGGAATGACAAATGCTTCATCACTGGAGTTTTGGGAAGATAGTCGAATAAATTGAGAAGTTGAGGGCCTAGTAGAAGGAGGTTGAAGGATCCACTCTTTATAGGGTTATATCAGTACGAAACACTTGAGAGTGAAGCCTTCGTTCTTTGTCAAAATCTCTCCTCCATTTGCCATAACTACTCCCCACTGCTTTCAATTTTTCCTCTGCATGTGTGCACGATAAAGGGAGAGAGGGAGAGAGAGAGAGAGAGCTGTTTGAAGTGGGAAAGAAATGAGGAGAGTGGGGGGCCAATAGTTCAGATAAAAAGAGAAGGAAAGAATATTGGGGGCTTTAGATGGAGGCCAATAGTTAAGATAAAAAAAGAAGATATGGGGCTTAGATGGAGAGAGAGAGAGAGAGAGAGAGAGAGAGAGAGAGAGAG